ATTTTTGAAATTCGCCCACCCATTCCGCAACCTTTTGGCGTCCAATAGATGTATCTTACCATTCTTTCATTTTCGACTGATTCCATTCAAATATTGACAAAAGCCCAATCTGAACCCGCCCAAGATGCACCCCTACTTACAAACTAGTAATGTTCTTGAGAAATTAACTAGATGGAGCAAAGAGAATGGTGTTAAAAGACATGTGGTTCGATGGATCACACTAGGGAGAATCAACCACCCTCTCCTTAAGAAGGATGTTAAGCTTTTGAGGGTTTGTTAGAAAGAGATATCAACCATAGGTAAGAAATTAGACTATGTTATCTGACATTGGAAAGCCTTCAAATAGGAGGGGCCCAATCTCTCTCTTCAGGACCTTTCCATATTGTGAAGAAAGAAACAATTTCCACCAAACAACCACTTGAATACAATAAATATAGCCAGTTTTTCTCTCTTTACCATTCTAAATCTTCTACAAACGAGCTAGTGTAAAAGATGCTACAAAACCCAATCAGAAGTAGACACGTCAGCAACAAGCTAGTGTAATAGACGCTACAAAACCCAATCAGAAGTAGACACGTCAGCTAGCCATAATGTTACCAGATTACCAAGATTGACGTGTTTACTTCTGATTGAATTATATAACCCATTTGTATACGTCTTGTTTGCAGCAGATCTGGACTCCCTTTCTCCATGTTGAAATAAACAATTCCACCAACCAATTGCCTATAATACAAGTGGCCATCAATGATTGGAGATAAGTTCTGTTTCAGTTGACCTGAAAGCAAATGGATCAGATCAAACCGGATATACCAATTGTATATAATACAAGTGGCCATCAATTGGAGATAAGTTCTGTTTCAGTTGACCTGAAAGCAAATGGATCAGATCAAACCGGATATACCTAGGTCCAATTTGATGTTAACATTCGGATTTGAATGGAATCTTATCCATTGTATCGAGGTCAGATTAAAATATTAAAATTACTAATAAATTAACTAACATATCAAAATATTATAATATATTATTAATAAAATAAACTTAAAAATATGCAACTTTCCAGTAAATATAAATTATATAATCATAACAGAAGATCCACATTCAATCGGATCAAAATTGGGGCTGTCTTGCGACTCTTGCTGCCCATAATCGGATCGAAGCAATTGTTTTCCTAATATCTGGGTGTTTTTTAAAGAAGACTCAAAAAAGTCTAGTTTGATCAATTGACAGAACAAATTAGGTTGGATTCATCTGCGAACAGATTGAAGTCAAATTGCTTTAATTAATTAAATTAAATCACATTCAAATTCGAATTCGAGGTTGAAAATCCATTTTCCATCCAATTTCCAAGGGATGAAATTCGGGTTTCCTTAATCAAACCGGATTCAGACAAATGGATGAGATAATGCAGCCCTAATCCAGAACCCATTTGGAATTCAATGGTGAATGACGAGCTTGGTTCCTTATCAATTCAACCTCAGGAAAAGAACAATGGGGACACGTGTCACCCTAAAAACCTATCATCCTTATGATAAAAGATTCCAATTAAACGATATGTAACCCATCAAGTCATCAACCACCAAACAGGAAAAAAAAAAGAATCTCAAAACCTAGTAAATTCCCCACGAGTCCATCTGCTCCGTCACGTCATCTCCCAAAAACCCTAATTCAATGAACCTAAAAAGGCCCAAAAATAAAGCCCATCTACCAAAGCAACGGTTGGATTGGAATTGGACTCAGACATGTAAGACTAATTTCCATCTACTCTTCTTACAGGAATATTCCATTACAAGACTTTTAAAGGAGGCCGAGAGGATAAGAACTCCACGACATGTCCAACCAGACTTATCTCGTCTTCTAAAAGCAACCAAATAGATAAGCTGATAAACAACCAACCCAATGACCCATCATCAAATCTTATCTTCTAGAAACATAAAACAGCATTAAACAAAGATATCTAATTAATTCAGAAGAAATGTCATTAATTAATGAAAACAAAGCTTGGTGATTTGTTAGATTTGCCTTGTTTTTGTCAATACCCAGAAAAGAAACAATTACAGATAAAATTATCAGTTATTGCTCCTGGTGGTTTGTGATAATGGGTGGGTGGGTGCGTGATGAACAGCTTGCAGTTGCAGAATTATGGATGATGCTGTAGATCTGTTAAACAGCTTGCAGACTTGAAGCTCCTGAACTTTCTTCTCAATGGAGGGTCCTCATCATAATCTGTGTCATCTGAGTCCTCACTGCTGTTGCTGCTGGTATTCTTTTTCTTGTTGATGGAAGTACCAAGTTGGTTCTGGTCCTTGGTTTCATCTTCTTCATCTTCATCTTCATTCAGAGGAAGGAGAGGCATGGAGGTAGGGTTGGATGAACTATAGAAAGATTTCTTCAGTCTTTTGTCCCACTTGAATGCCATCAGAGTTCTTCTCCTTTTGTTCCATGGGTTCTCTTTCTTTGTAATGCTAGTCCGACCCTCCAGTATGCTTACATCTGTTAAGTTGGCAAAGGATTTTGATCTTCCAGGGAAGAAATTTGACAATCCTCTTCTGCAAAGAACAGAGAATAAACATTTTAATATGATAATTAATTCAGAATATCATCATTTTTTCCCCTTTTTTCTTTCAATAAAACAAACCAAAGCACAGAAACCAGGATGATCAGTTTATTCTTTTTCCCTCGATTTGCTGAGAAATAATCATAAAATAATAAATGAAGAAAAAGGACAATTTTCCAACTAAGTTGAATCCATTAATGGATTAATTAAGTCATTTACATAATATTTTTAATCGATGCAAACAACGTGAACAACACAACTAGACTTGATTCATTTAAAGAAGGAAACCTAGAAATGATCAAACCAATTTTTCGGTAAGCGAAAAGATTACAAATTTTAACAAAAAAAAGGAAAAAAGAAGACTTACTTGATGGGGAGAGATTCTTCCAAGGCATCCAATGAACTCAGAGCACCACCGCCGCTCTTCAGTCCACTCTGCACCTCCTCCTCCTCCTCATCGCTCTCGTCGGGAACCCCAATCGAGGAACTCTCAGAAGATTCCAAATCCTCCCCACCAAAACAAAATCCATTAACCCTCTTCACCGGCTCACCACTCGCCGCCACCTCCTTGCCCTTCTCCTCCTCCACATCGCCCTTCCTGTTCAAATAATCCGAGAAACAACCAGAAATCCCCCTCTGTTCCCTTTCTCCCTGAAGCCCCATAGAAGGACCCATGGAAACCTCCCTGCTACCAAACACTAGAGACATTGCGCCGACGATCCCCCACTAATCGATCTATCTATACACCCGATTCCAGTACTCAGCCCTTTCCACGCCTTCTCTTTCTTCTTCTCGGTCTCCAAATTGGTGTTAGTGTCATCAATCTAAGAATAAAAGGAGAAAACCCAAGAAGGGTACGTAGGATAAGCAGAGATATGGAAAGAAAGGAGTGAAGGTTAGGAAAAACAAGGATGTGGGGTATGGATAATATGGGTATCCGCTTTGCCTGCTAATCGGGAGATCATATCGGGATCCTGTGCAAGACCGACGACCGACCAGCTTCTCTGATTTCTTTCTTGGTGTTCGTTTGATCAGACGCAGAGGAGAGAGAAATTATAAAGAGAGAGAGTGAGAGTGGGGGAGAGAGAATGAGGGATATAAGTAGAGAGAGAAGCGAGGGGGCAAAACTAACGTCCGCCGACGGCGTGTTCGCCACTAAAAGGAGACGCGCTTTGACACGTTCTCATCGGACCGGAATTACGTGGCAGTGACAGCATTATCTCCCATGTATGTATATTACAATCCCATATCCATACATGCTAAATATGTAGAGATATATATCTCTGTGGATTTCGAATCTAGTGTTTTTACGAAATGACGAAAATGCCCCCTCATAATCAAGAGAATGACGCATATGTCCTCTTATGTGTCAGCGCTGGAGAAATGACAGCCTGACCCACTCAACCGGCTGAGGGTTTCTATTCTTCTATTCTAAGCTTGTTCATTTGTTCTTATCTTTATCCAAAAGTTGCCTATTCTGGTAATTTGACCCTCTGAACCGGGTTCGTGGTCAAGGTTTGGTTTGGTATATCCTCTGAACCGGTTCACGAAATGGATTGGGTCAAACTTCATAGGTTTTGGGTCTGCATTGAGCCAACATCACCTTCCGGTCCTGTCCGGGTTGATTCCCACTCTTTCTTGGATCTTGTACTGTTCCGTCAGCAGCCGTTGGATTGGAATAATATGTCAACAGAGATTTAGCGTGAGCTTTCTTTAACCCAAAAATGTTTAATCTATCTTCCCATACAGGCCATACTTAATGTCATTACGTGGGTCAGTTGCCACGTAACCTACGTCATCACGTGAATTTGGAAGATTCCTTTTTTCTAATTTGGGAGACGTGGCTTAATTCTAAACCGTCGGATTCGTCATGCATGGAAGAAGCAAAAAGTTCATTATCACAGGGTACGTCCTACAAGGGGTATTTTAGACATTTTAACTTATGACTGTACAAAGATACTTTTTATGTGAGAGCTCTCTATCGGTCAGATTGGAATCTTTGATGTAGAAAGGGTGTGGCCCGGGGCTGGCACATGCAGGAATCCCCATTGGATCAAAACCTCTTGAAGAGATGAGAGAGAAAAGCGAATACCGTGGGCAACTGGGCATTGACGAAGATACCGTGGGCAGGTTGATGTAGACAATGATCTCATACGACCAATAGCAATAGTCGATGGTGTGGCCTGTTGGCACTGGAGTGGAGATGTGATGCATGTGAGTGATCAGCCACCAACTATTTTAACCATGGCCCACATCGATTGTTGAGCAGCATCCAATGACAATGTTATTAGTGGTTGGACCGTCCGGTCTAAAATTGAGTTGGGTTAAGTTAGTATCTGGTTCTGTTCGTATTATTGTAGAGCTGATTCGGCTATAAAGGTATACTAACTTACCATTATTTTGCGATACCGAAAAGGTATGATATCGAATACAAATAGCTTTGACCAATCAAATTCTCTCGTGAATATCTGTTGCCTTCGGTTTTACTTGGGTCACAAGATTGTACGAGGTGGTCAAACAATTCGACAACCTGCCGTCATTAGCGGGTTTTAAGTCTCATCCTTAATTCTTAATTTTTATATCTTAAGAGAAATTTTTTAATTTAAAATAAAATGGTTATTCATTTCTTTTTATGTCTTATTTTTTAAAGTATATTTATGCAATTTTTTGTCTTTCAATAATACATCCAAAAAGGCAAATAAACTCTCATATATAAGGTCAAAATGGATATTTGATAATTTTTAGAATTCAAAATTACATTCTCTGAATTCAAAGCTCAGAGTAAAGAAAAATTCACCAATACCAATATACTTCTTAATGTAATTATTGTGCTTTCAAATGTTAAACTTCAGAGCAAATGAATAGGCTCTTAGTCTTGGCAAGGCACAACTCCTTTCATGAAAAGTTGAAAACCATTAATCGTAGTGGTCTAATATCCACGTGTTTTTCTCAGCTCTATGGGCGATTCCCCAACCCTAATAAGTCTCCACTAGAATTAGGGCTACATATGGATGAATTGGATTCGGTAAGGGGTATATCTGATTTAATCCGATAAAAAATCCAACTGATCCACGAATCTGATAAGAATTCATCAAATTTTCAGGAGTATGATTCAAATTTGATTCTATTAGAATTGTAATAAAAACTTGATGATATAATATAAATAATATAATAATATAATAATATACTAGCGGTGACCCATGCGATGCACAGGACTTATTAAGCAAAAGCTAAATAATAGAAATAGTCATTTACTAAAATATCCCTTTTATAGTTTCATGGATTTACTAAAATCTACCTTATACTTAGCATTTTACTAAAACACCACTTATAATTTGCAATGGATTTAATCAATCTTCCATTAGATGATAGTGAAAAATGACAGTGTTGACCCTAATGTTCATTTAAATAAATTTAGTGAAGAGAAAATAAAAATAAAAATATCATTTTTACCCTTAATAAGACACGGGCAACCACTCTATTGGCTATATTTGGTTAAATTTGTTTTTTGTACGAAAAAGTGTTAATGGTATTTTTGGAATAAAAAATCATGGGCCTAATGGCAAAAGAAGCACTCCTTAATGAAAGGTTGATTAAGTAAATAAGTTGTAAAATATATGGGATGTTTTAGTAAAATGAAAGCTATAAGCTAGGTTTAACTGTTTAAGTAAATATGTAAAACTATAAGGTGTGTTCTAGTAAATGACCCTAATAGAAATATATAAGAGTATACAATTGTTTTATATTTTCAACTTTTTAAATAATTAATAATTATTTATATTTTATATACTACTTTTAATAAATTTTTTATAATACAAAAGTATCAATAATTAATTTCAGTTAGGTCTATTCATCAAACTGATGAAACCAACCAACCCGATCAACTTGACCTGAGTTCGTCGGTTTTCTAATATTTTAGGTCGGCTTTAGTTAAAAAATTTCCCAATTCGACCAAGTTGGATCAGTTTCACTTTGGCCTTTTGTAAAACCAACCGAAATCGACCGACCTAACTATGGATATATATTAATATTTTATATTTTAAATATAATTTTTAATATGGAAAATTTCCTGCATTTCTTAGTCTAGAATGTTTTATATCATAAATCTAATTTTTAAGTTTAAATCTTTTAAACCGACTAATCAAACCAAAAAATCGACCCAAATCGATATAACTTGGGGTCAGTTTTCACAAAAGGTCAGTCAATTTCACCTGACCAACTCCCCAACCCAACCAGGTCAATTTGGTTGGCCAAATAACCTACAATTAAACCAAACCAACTCATGAACACTCATAATTTTAGCTAAATTAATAGTCTCATCTTTGATAAATAACAAAAGTTTAATCTCCAATAATTATTAAAAATTTATAGCGAAAATATACAATTATTGAAAATATATTGATAATGAAAAAATACAATAATTACAAAAATACAATAAGTACTAAAAATATATTAACTTAGTCAATAAATAATATAATCTCAAATAATAGTTTAATCTCTAATAAATATTAATCAATAAGTTATAACAAAAATATAATAAGTACAATAAATTAAATTTAAAAATTTCAATAATAGTAGTTTAATCTTCAATAATTATTGAAAGTTTTCTGTTAAATAACAAAGCAAAATAAATTTATACATAATCATTGAAAATACATTTAACATAGAAAACAATAAATAATTACTAAAATACAATAAATATTAATTTTAGTATATATAATTATATAATAAATATGGTTTAATAGTTTAAAATTATTAATAATAAATATTAATTTTCTGAAAGTTATTTTCTCTAATTATTACTTGATATAAGTGAAATTAGTTATTTACAATATTATGTAAAAATATTAAATTATTATTAATTTCAATATTATGTTATAATTATTTTTCTACTTTTAAGATTTTTTTAAATTTAGTACATAATTTCTTTATTTTAACTATTTAAAATCTAGTTATGTTAAATATTTGTTATTTAAAATATTTATTAATTTAAATACTTAATAATATGTAAAATATTAATTATTTATTTAATTTAATTATCCATAAAATCATAATTTATACTATTATTACATATTATTAATTTCAATATTATGTTATAATTATTTTTCTACTTTAAAGTTTTTTTTTAAATTTATTACATAATTTCATTATGTTAACTATTTAAAATATTTAAATAATCTATGAAATTTTGAAAATTTTTTGTTATTTGAATTTTATTTATTTAAAGCTATTACATATTATTAAATATTTGAAAAACATTTAAATTGATAATCTGGAAAAGCATAATTTAAATTGTTAATACGTAATTTTGTGATATATTTTGTAAAAATATAAAATTATTTTTTGTGTTTTTAATAAATATTTTAAAGTTAGTATATAATTTTGTTAGAATATTTAAATAATTCTTAATTTTTTTTAATCCAAACTTTCTTTAGATAGATATAGATAAAAAGTAGGGTAGAGGATAAATAGGAATTAGAGATAGTTTAGGAGAGAAACTCTCTACTAAATTAGAGATAATTTTGGAGAATGTGGAGAATAGTAAGGGAGGTAGTTTAGGAGAAGAGATTATTTAGGTTATTGGGAAAGTGCATCTCATTGGTTGTTTCAAAAGTGATATGGAATTTAAAAAAATAAAAAATTCAAAAAAAAGGATAAAAATTCTAGATTTCCTTGTTTTAATACATATATATATATATATATATATATTATATATATATAATATATATAAATAATAGATTATATATAATGTTTCATAATTATTGGATTGTCATGACAATTGGATTGAGGTATATTCGAATTCGATCCGTTAACTAAACAGATTGACTTTTTCAATCCGGTATGATTTATTAGGATCAAGAGAGGTATCCAAAATCCCGCTCTTACCCGATCAATTTTGGTTTCGAATTGAATTTGATCCTACTTGTTTGTTGACCTAGTTACGACCAATTGGAGACCTTACCAACTTAAGCTAGTTGGCGCCTTGTCATACTTGCTTAAAAGCTGTGGTTGGTTTGGTAATTAGAAAAATCTGATGAAGAAAAGAAATTGCTTTTGAAAAGAAATTTCCCTCAATTTTTTTCTTGTTTTTATCATTTTCCATCAAATCAAACACAACTTAAACAATCTTCAAAATATGGATACACCTAGTATGCACGAATAAGCATATATCATATGTTTCAAATGCTTATTGACTTTTTTTTTCTTTAGTTTTTCTTTTCAAAGTTGCTTCC